ATTAAATAATTTTGTAGGTCCAGATATGTACTATGCACCGGAATTTTTAAACGTTAAGATAAAAACTTGTTTTGGTAAAGCATACGTAGTACCATTTCCATTTAGTGTAGTAATGTGTTATGATGATGATGAGAATGTAATTGTATTAACACAGGAATGGGAAATTCAACGGTACGTGGAACAGAATGAGAATAAAGAAGTGAACAGAAGAAGATTGGTTAGACAAATGATTAGAGCTTTGGAAGGAAAGATTATTATTGGTCCTTGTGGTGATAAAGGAGAAAAAAATAATTTTGAAGGATACGATAAAGAACCAAAGGTAAGCTTAAATTGTTATGCTTATTTATAAAAACTAAATGGAGATTAATTATTTTTATAAAATAGAATTTCTTTGGCGTTTCATCGGAGTCTGAAGTTCATTATCACTTAGGTCTTCTCCAAATAAGACGTAATCAATTATCAACATGGAATAAGCATAATATGAATTCCGGATTCGAAGTCACCATCATGTATACGAACGCATTTCATTCTGGTACTGATCATGAACGAACGGTTGGTCATGATATCATTGGAATCACACATGATTTTCAGATGACACCACAACTTGAACGATTGTTTACAGATAACTACAAGGTCGTGTCACAAGGTTTGGAACAGGTTCAATCGATAATGCAACAATATAGAAACTACTATAGAGATGAAGCTATTCAAAAAGAAGAAACTTTGACATATGGATTCTTCATAAATATATATAATAATCCTTCAATACCATTGGAGACACTACCTACTTTATTAATTACTACTGAAACAAATCCACAAATTCAAGAAATACCAGTGACCGATTATCCAACACTCGTTTATTTATATGAAAGAATGAGAGTAGTGAATTTATCAAGAGCTCATCAATGGTGGTATTTATTTTGGGAAGATCTCTGGAGAAAAAATAATCAAGAGATTGAAGAATTAAGAAAATATGCACAGGATTTTTCACCTGCATATAGAACTAGCTTATGTTATAGACCGATGGCTAGATTAGATCTGGAAAAGTTTTTGAAAAATCGTGGAATTTGGAAAAACGATGGGCGAAATGGGTTTTTACACAGTGGAGTTTTAAATAGGATTTATTTGTATTTGAATAATGTTGTATTCGTACGGCAATCCGGTTCTAAGTGGAACAATAAAAGTGAAGGCGAAATAGTGGTAGTGCCGAGAAAATGGAGATTAACAAAAGGAAACGTTATTGATGATTATAATGAATATAATACATTACTTGGAAAAATTAAAAGAAATGTGAAGGAACGCGTGTTTATGATGAATTATTTAATTAGACGTAAAACTAAGTTGTCAAGAACTAGAACGTTCTTTGTGTTAAGCGAAAACGATAGTGAAGAAGATACTGATAACGAAATTAATAATTCTAGTGATAATAATGATGAAATTTAACATTAGTTAAAATTTAATTTGTAACAATATGATTTATAAAAACATTATATGCATTGTACTTAAAACATTTTTGTATAATAATGTATTATTAATTTTATATTAATTTTACTTCTTTTGTAATAAAAATTAATATTCTATGCCGGTGGAGAGTATAATGATTAATGAATGTCATTACCGCGCGTTTGTGAAATTTGAGTATTATTAAGTGCGTCATCTACTCTTTTTTGACATTTCTTATTGTAAAATATGCCCAATCCATCTTCCCGGAATCAGAATAGTGATCAGATTCTTTATCACTTTATATTAATCATATATATATTTTCAGATTGTCATATCTTAGCGCTCTTAGTTTTTACATTGCATTCGAAGAAGTTTCCATATATCTTCAATAATATCGATTCCCCTATCGTCTAGATTTCTAAAGAATACAGCGAATATAAGTAACGTATCATTATTGTACAACTATAGAAAAACGTTCACGTCCAAGACGTGGCCACGATGAGCTTTCGATTCGATAGTTTGTATATCTTATTCACCATTAACCCGGTAGGGCCTAACCATTTTCCGGGACTTCAGTAACTGAGAGAACGATCAACTGCCGAAACAGCTGGCCACGAAGAGCTTTCATCTCAGATATTTTACACTAATAGTGGCAGCGTAACTTAGATATACAACAACTCAACATGTACTCAATGAAAAATACTCACTCTCTTACTCTTCATAAATCTTTCCACTCTATAAGCTTTTCTCTTATCAGAAGTCGACATTTCTTCAAATTCTTCAACGATAAAAATCAACGACGTAACGTAAATATGGCATTTTTCTATCAAGAAAACGTGTTAAAATTGATTACTTATACGTAGTAATAAGTAACATTAATATGAAAGAGTAAGTATTAAAAAAGTTATTATTAACATAATAAATCAAACAATCTATATAAACTCTTGAAGGCCAAAACTTACACAACGTGATTATTGCGAATTAAATTCATGTTTGATTTATTTGGCGCGTTATAGAAAATATTGTTGTTTTTATAAAGTCCCAGACTTTATCTTTTAATCTTGCGGCATGAAATTCTCATATCTATGTTTAACAAAACCCAAAGTTCAAAACCCAAAATACTTTCACAAGTGACAATGCCAAAGAGTCTGACACGTAAAAAATAATCAAATATATATTGTTTTGATCATACCAAAATTTTTTATTGGCTGATCTATTTTTAGATTCTGCAATATTAGATCATATGATAACATGCTTTATGCTGTGTCAATAAACAGGGGGGAACCGTCACATCATTTGTAGATCTGTTACACAATTCATAAAAATTTTTTTTATATTGTTTTAAAGTACATTT